CCCTTCAGGGTGGGGGTCCCCACTGGGGTGCCTGGCCAGCCTGGGTGAGGGGCTGAGGGCCGTTTGCAAGCTGGTCAAGCCCTCCCCCCAGTGGGGACCCTCAACCCTTGGAGGTTTGGCCAGCCTGGGTGAGGGGCTGATGGCTCTTTTCAGGCTGGCCACACCCCCGTTAGGGTGGGCAGTCCCTACTGGGGTGCCTGGCCAGTCTGGGTGAGGGGCTGAGGGCCGTTTTCAGGCTGGCCAAGACCCCTGGCGACAGAAGCTCCCCGCCTCTCCATTTTTTCTTTTTTTTTTTTAATTCTGGGATTTATTTACCTTCTATAATTGAAACTTTGTTGCCTTCAGTGGAGCTCAGAGCCGCCCAGGAAGCTTGGCTTCCTCCATCACTGGAGCAACCAAGCCTCCTGCTCGCTTCAGCTCCATGGCTGCCGGCCGCCATTTTGGTTGGGTTAATTTGCATATAGTCGCTCTGATTGGCTGGTGGGCTGGCTTAAGGCATAGCGAAGGTATGGTCAATTTGCATGTTTGTCTTTTATTAGATTAGATGGGACATCCATTTAATGGAATGTGATGCAGCTGTTAAAATACTAATTCTGAAGCTTATGTAGCAACTCAGAAAGTATTTGTAATGTAATAAAAGTAAAATAGAACATGGTCTGTACGCTAGGATTAAAATTATGTAAAAGTATGCACACACACAAACTGATCAGAATGAGAATAGGAACAAATGAATACAGATGATGTGTTTAAGGTGTTTGGGAAAGTACTGTTTGTGATTTTCTTAGCTCTTTCCAGATTCCATTTATTGTTGTTAAAATGTCATTTGTGCTTAAATGCAAACTGACAGAGGAAAAATATACTGAAATGGGTGCTTTGATTTCATCAAGTCCTTTGATAAGCTGTGGTACAAACACAAACCACTGACCTGGGAGACAAGAAACCAACCCCCCACCCAACCCCCATTCTTAATTGGCTGTGTGATATTGATTAAGTAATATCTGCAGCTCTGAGCAGCCATTTCTCTTATCCTGTCTAGCTGGAAGTCCTGTGGTTATTCCTCACTCCCAAATCAACTCTCGTCACTTCTGTTAGCAGTTCCACCATATTCCCAGTGCCCTCAAGACTGAAAACTTCAGAATTCACTTTCCATTGTCTCACCATCTCCACTATCTCCCTAATCCTCAGCTCCAATCAATTATCTGTTCCTTTGAACAATCATTTATAGTATGCTTTACTATGGACCTGGTTCTAGACAAAGAGTCCTTGCCCTCTTAGTTAATACTGTCTGGTTGAGAAATGCTAACAATGTTTCTCTTTCTTGTTTCTCTGCAGACTACTGAAGGGTAGTGTGGAAGGCAGAGACAGCGACAGATAAAACAGAACCTCCTGAGTTAGGAGCTTGTCCCCATGGTGGGAGGAGTTCAGGAACAGACTAGATACTCTCAGGAATAGTATAGTAAGACCTGGCACAATGAGTTGAATGTTAACTCAATTTATTCATTTAACAAGTATTTACCAAGTGCTGGACACAATGCCAAGCTCTCTGTTAGGTAGCAAAGGACCTGCTCAGATGAATTAGGGTAGGCTCTGTCATAGAGTTACTCACAGTCTAGTGGAGGACAGACAAGGAAATCAGTCATTACAGCCCAATACGCCAAGTGCTGTCATGGAATTTGAACCGAGGGTTCTGGGGCAGAAGAATGTAGGATTGACCCTGCCTAGGGGCCTGGGGCCTCACAGAGCCAGAGGGACTAGAACTGTGTTTATTTCCAAGGCTGAAGAGATTAGGGGCCCAGGAAGGGGGTTGAGTTGTCCACAGCCATTCCAAGGTGAGGAATCATCAGGTCCACAGGCAGGAAGCTAGAAAGCTTTTTCAGAGCAGTAATTGTTTGGAATGGCTTAAGCTTTGAGGTTTGGAATGGGTGAAGGGAGCGATGGATGTCCAGGCACAGGAGGCAGCAGATGACTGGCAGAGGGAGGGACCTGAGGAGTCCAGGAAGGAGGGCCAAGGGAGTTTCAAAGTAGGGAAATCACATGATAGACTGAGTTTTAGTTAAATAACCGGATGGTCTCTAATGTCCCCTCTCTTCCCTGAGATTTTGTAAGTGCCAAGTGTGTTGTATAGGAAGCAGGGGCAGGACACCCAGGTTCAAGGAGAGTTCCTACCCTTTCACCCTCTCGGCAATCTGCAGAGAAGCAAGAGAGATTAAATAAAATGTTGGTTCTTCCCAACTTATAGTATGGGCAGACTGGCTGGTCTAGAGAACTGGGAAGAAGAGGCAGACCAAATATGTTTAAGAAATAATATTAGCCCTGCTGGCGTGGCTCACTGATTGAGGATCAACCTATGAACCAGATCATGGTTCGATTCCCTGTCAGGGCACATGCCCAGGTTTCCGACTCGATCCCCAGTGTGGGGCGTGAAAAAGGCAGCTGATCAATGATTCTCTCTCATCATTGATGCTTCCATCTCTCTCTCCCTCTCCCTTCCTCTCTGAAATCAATAAAAATATTACTTAAAAAAGAAATTATATTAAATATTAATTAAAATGCATTCTATTGCTTGTACAATCATGTGTATGTGGACCTTAAAGTAGCCTCGCTTTGCATTCTACTAGAAGGCAGGAAGTTTGCTAGCTCAGTGGTTCTCAACCTGTGGGTCGCGACCCCTTTGGCGGTCGAATGACCCTTTCATAGGGGTCGCCTAAGACCATCCTGCATATCAGATATTTACATTACGATTCATAACAGTAGCAACATTACAGTTATGGAGTAGCAACGAAAATAATTTTATGGTTGGGTCACAACATGAGGAACTGTATTTAAAGGGCCAGAAGGTTGAGAACCACTGGTCTAGCTCATCTTGGCATTTCTAGCACCTAACACAGAATCAGGTGCCTCAGAGGAGGAGGAAGGGAGGGAAAGGGAGGGAGGAGATTGCTTTTTGGAAACCGCCCTTTTTCAGCGGCCCTTCCCAAGCTCTGGATCTATGACCTCCCACCAGCAGGTGGCAAGATAGTCCCTGCTCCCCTTGAAAGAGTGGGGTGGGCGGAGCATCCAGGGTGGGCGGAGCATCCAAGGTCGGCGCGCGCAGCCTCCGACCCTTTTTTCTTGGTGCACCGGAAAGAGGCGGTCCTCTTTCTTTGCCTAGCGCAGCCATGGTAAGACAACTTTTTTGCGAGCTCTTGGGATACCATCAGCCTCCATCCTCCCAGGGCCAGGACTATCCGGACTTTCGGGGCCCCCTCAGGGAGTGGCCGGGCTGAGGCAAACGGGGTTTGGCCTGCAGGGTTGGCCCAGGCGGGCTGGAGAGCGAGGGAGGAGGTGATAGGTGGCTCTGGCGGGAAGGCCTTGGTCTCTGGCGGGCCACGCACACTTCCCCCGCTGGGAGGAGCGGCTTTCTAATCAGGCCGGGACCTGGAGGGCCAGGGCTGGTGGGTAGCAGCTGCAACTGGCAGAAAAGGATTTTCTTCGTCATTGTCTTTTTGGCACGGCCTTACTTTGCGAACTGAGGCCAGTAAGCATCTGTACACAGCATTCAATAGGCTTCCGCATTTTAAAGTGAAAGCCAGTGTTGGCTTTTGGCTTTGGAGTGAAGGGGAGCAGCTATTGACACGTGGTTGTGCTGAGGTCAGGTTCATCGCCACCAGACGCTCGTGTTGGGAAAACTTTTCTATTTGATCAACAAGTAGAAGCACAGATTGGGTCCTGGTCCATATTTCTGTTGCCGGCTGGCTGTGTGCCAAGAAGTTCAACCCCTGTCGGTTTCACCAGTATAGTGTCCTAGAAAAAGTAAAAGCTTCGAGAAGCAGACACACTTTTAAGCAGTAACATGAAAATACTTACAAAACTCTTCCTCAGGCTCGTGGTCCCAAGAAGCATCTGAAGCGTGTAGCAGCTCCAAAGCATTGGATGCTGGATAAACTGACTGGTGTGTTTGTAAGTATCATATTGTAATTGTATTTCAAGGGACAGTTTTACTGAGATATAATTGACATAATTTAAGGGACATATTTTATACTATTACGTTCCTTTATGTCAGACATCCTTGATTGCTGTATTCATAATGTTTCTTGCAGTGCCTCCCATAAGATTTCTGTACCTCATTTATTCCACATACCACATAGTACACTTACATGGACTCAGGACCCACGTGTACTTAACAGGCCTGGTCCTTTGAAGGGGGGGGGGAAATATTGTAAAATTTTAAGGTATGGAATAGTGTAAGCTTTAAATACCTCTTGTTGACCTAAATTGGAGGGGGGTTGATGGACAGTCTGGTGTCTAGGTAATGGATCTTGGGATTTGGAAGGTGGATTTGTGTGAGTCCCAACAATAGCTTGAGAGGGTGTTTTTTAAAATCATTTCACAGGCTCCTCGGCCATCTACCGGTCCCCACAAGCTGAGAGAATGTCTCCCTCTCATCATTTTCTTAAGGAACAGACTTAAGTATGCTCTAACAGGAGATGAAGTAAAGAAGATCTGCATGCAGCGGTTTATTAAGATTGATGGCAAGGTCCGAACCGATATAACCTACCCTGCTGGCTTTATGGGTAAGTGGTTAGTACTTGGCTCCTTAAAACATTAAGTAGCTCTCATCATTAGCCTTAGGAATCCATGTTGTTTTAAATGGGAAGCATTTTATTTTTTTCTTACTGTGGTATAGTTATGCAACATGGGATAGTGGGGTCACTATAGTAACCTTAGTTACTGTTTGATATCAGATGTCATCAGCATTGACAAGACTGGAGAGAACTTCCGCCTGATCTATGACACTAAGGGCCGCTTTGCAGTTCATCGTATTACTCCTGAGGAGGCCAAGGTGAGTGCAAGCAGACTGGGTTTTCATTCAGTAAAATTACTTAGGTACATGGGCTGGTCTATTGGGGTGAGATAGGTAAATTAAGATTACTTAAAATCTTGTATCTGGAAATGTCCAGTTAACAATTTGGTTAAATTCTATCATATGTGCAATTTCCTGTTGTGTTATTAAAAGGATTTCTAATAGCTGTATAGCAGTCTGTTGCTGGATGTCTAATAACTGACCCCCATTTTAAGTTAACATTCTCAACAGATTTTCTTTTTTTTTTTTTTTTATGACAGATAAATTCCAGTTGAATTGTGACTTCCTGGTTGTCTTTTTTAAAGGCAAGGATTTATGAGTACCTAAAATAAGGGTCCTCTAAGGATAAAGGACTAGAAAACCAATATCTAGTCCAATCCAGTTGGCCCTTTGTCATATCTCCATTACTCTAGAGGGGAAAGGTGTTAATGGAGGAGACTGAAAATCCTTGGGCACTATTTTGAGATAGCTTGAAAAAAGATTATAGACATTGGTTGTTTTATGAAATTTGTTGTGATGGTTTACACAAAGGTTTATGGTTTCTTGAATTATTGGCTGTAAATGAAGGTTGATGTGTGTGATTCAACTCCTAACTTCCTTAGCTGCCTTGTTATTGGCAGGCTGGAGGGTATGTTCATGACATCGGGGTGATTTGATTTAGTTTAAAATGTCAGGGAATGATAAATCCAAAGCTGAAACATTTTGTGAGGTATTTGTTGATTGGATTAACTTCTAATGCAATTGCAGTTCTTGAGACACTCAGTTGTGATGCACAGGGAGCCACTAAGAGGCACTTTTTAGGAATGGTGAGGGAAGAATTCAGGGGCTCCATGAGGCTTAAACAGCCTGGGGAAAGGAGGGTGATCAGCCCACTCCATGGAGGAATTAGGATTTATGGTGCCTTCGTGCCTTGGATTTTAACATGGGGTGATGTGCTGCTACAAGGAAAATCCCATGGTGACATTAGAGAGAGGGGCAATGTACAAGATAAATTTGTGGAGGGTGGCAAGAAAAGTCAAGGACACATTCTGCTGTAGTTCGGGAAACCAGCACTTCCTATGTAGGGCTGTTGCCTTTGGCTGCTAATTGCATTTGGCAACTTGTGGCTTTGAAAGAACCTTTTTGTCCACTGTGGAGCATAGTGCATGTGTACTAGACTAAATGAAGCTAACCTTTGTGTGTTTCTAGTACAAGTTGTGCAAAGTGAGGAAGATCTTTGTGGGCACAAAAGGAATCCCTCATCTGGTAACCCATGATGCTCGCACCATCCGCTACCCTGATCCCCTCATCAAGGTGAACGACACCATTCAGATTGATTTGGAGACAGGCAGAATTACTGATTTCATCAAGTTTGACACTGGTAAGCAAGCCTCTACACTACCTGGGCATTCTCTTGAAAGCCCAGCTATAAGAGCTGTTTAGGTTTTTTGTTTTGTTTTATTTTTTCCATCACCATTTATCCCTTCTGTGCCATCTTCCCTGCAAGAGCTGTTCTTTGCTTTTCTCTCCCCCCACCCCCACCCCCTTTTTAAAAAATTTTTATTAATTACATTTCATCAGTCAGGGCCTGGGTACAGAGTTTTCGTTTGAATCTTCCAGGTGATTCCATGCACCTAGTTAGCAACAGAAGCTAGATGTCCTTTGTTGTAGTAAGGGAAACTGGAGAGTGTAGCTACTCTAAGGCCCAAATGCTCAGAATATTCTGGATGGCTGAGGTGAAGTCTGGCATAGCACATTCTCAGGCCTGTTCTAGATGTCTCAAATTCCCCTATCCGTGGAAACAGCTTGAGGGCTGGGCAGGTAAGTCTGGTGAAAAAGCAAGCCAGCCTCTTTGTAACAAGAGCTCTTGTTAATGCTGTCATTGTGCCTTGGAAGAACAGCATAGTCTAGGCAAGACATAGTTTGTACCTGGCAAAGTGGGTGCAGTAGAGTTCACATTTGTTACGTGTGTAGGAGGGATGGGAGAAATCTTAACAGGCCTGGCTTGGGTAACAGATCCACGGGAGTAAATTTGAATGAGAGAAGGGATTAATGAACTTACACCTGTCTCTGTCATGTAATACACTCGGTTGTAATAGCAGATTATTCCTTCTTGCCTAGGTAACTTGTGCATGGTGACCGGCGGTGCTAACCTGGGAAGAATTGGCGTAATCACCAACAGGGAGAGGCACCCTGGTTCTTTTGACGTAGTTCATGTGAAAGATGCCAATGGCAACAGTTTTGCCACCCGGCTCTCCAACATTTTTGTAATTGGCAAAGTAAGTCTTGGGTTTCCCTTCTCTCCAGTCTAAGGAAAACCTGTAAATGCAGGTACTGCTGGGATTGCAGCTCCTGACGGACTGGCTGTGCAGAACCTAGTGTGAAGCTGCTTCTGGGATAGGGCTCACATAGAGTGGGGCTGGGCAGACCTGTGCTTTTTTAGTGTTGCAGAAACAGCAGGAGGGCTGATCACCTTGGTTGGTAAAAAGTGCCAATGGTGATCATCAGCCTTGTAGTTTTTGCATTTACGTATATGGGCAGCAGGTTTAGGGGAATGGCTCCAAGTAGTGAGTGTTTCTGAAAAACCAGCATCCAAGTGTCTGAAGACTTCTTGGCTGTTGCTAAGTGCTTGCACAAGCAGGCTTCTGTTCCTTTAAATGACATGATAAATGTGCCGAACTGCTAATGGAGTTGGTGTATAGCAGGTTTTGATTCTTGTTTTCTCCTTCAGGGCAACAAACCATGGATTTCCTTACCCCGTGGAAAGGGTATCCGCCTCACCATTGCTGAAGAGAGAGACAAGAGACTGGCGGCCAAACAGAGCAGTGGCTGAAATGAGCTCTAGGTGACATGATTGGAAAAGTCTTTGTACTTAATTAAAGATAATACAGCATGATTAATTGCCTTTTTGGTATGAGAGGGTTGGGTTTTTTATTTTTTTAATTTAGTTTCCTGCTATTCTACTTTATAACATGTAAAGCAGATGGAATTTTTCAGACATTCTATTTACCTTCCTGTGTCTGTTACAGGCTGGGCTTGGGTGGTGATGGGAAGGAGAACACACCTGACAAAGAAGGAACAGCAGCCCTTGACTTGGCCAAGACCTTGTCTACCCTGTTAAGTCTTCTTGACTTTAAAAGAAAATCAGTGCCTTCCTTTATCTCTGGTCTTCCTGCCACTGCTGTCCTCAACTCCAACCTCAGGTCTCTGCAAAACAGAAAGTGTGTGGAAAATAAACTTGTTCCTGCTTCCTTGACCCTGTAATGTCAGGTGGGACTTGACTGCCAAACCCCAAAAGTGCCCCTGCTGTAAGATGCCAGGTCCTATACCTGTTCATCTCAAGCCCTGGGTCTTCTCCAAAAATTATTGTGCCTTTTGCTGTTAGCCTTCTCAACCAGCAGTTATTCCCATTACACTATAAAGCATGTCTTGCAAAAACCAAAAGCACCTTTGTCTCCCATAGCCAGGCTTCCCAACCTTCACATTCATTTAATGTCATTATTTGCTACAATCTACGCAGGCTTCCTAAATCAGTGGTTCTCAACCTTCTGGCCCTTTAAATACAGTTCCTCATGTTGTGACCCAATCATAAAATTATTTTCATTGCTACTTCATAACTGTAATGTTGCTACTGTTATGAATTGTAACGTAAATATCTGATATGCAGGGTGGTCTTAGGGAACCCCTGTGAAAGGGTTGTTTGACCGCCAAAGGGGTCGCAACCCACAGGTTGAGAACCGCTGTCCTAAATCATCCCACCATGACAGGTTTGGGGTTGAAAAACTTGGACATATTTCTCCATCTGAGGCATGCATGATGCGTCTGTGCCAAATCACTATATTTAACTGGGGTTGTCTAATGGTCATCCCTGGTTCCCAGGCCTGTGGTTCAGAGAAGAGGCCTGCTGAGGAACTGGCTTGGCCCCTGCCTGAGTCAAGAGTGGCAGAATACTGGTCTGGAATAACTGAACATCATCCAAAGGAGGCATGTCCAGGAGTCTCAAGCCCAGATTTGGCCATACAGGACTCCCCTGTTTGACAAATTGCAAACTCCAAATCACCACTGGCAGGGGCCTCAGGACCTCTGCTTAAGCAGAAACAGAGAGTGGAATCTTACCCATACAGGCCATTGTGAGGTTCTCTGTTAGAAGTAAATTGGTGCCCCCTTGAGGAATGGGCAAGTGAGGCTGAAAAGTCCAAGTACTAGGGTCCCTGAATGCTGGTGGGTTCTCTGGCTGCACCCACCTTGGCTGTACTTCTTTCTAGGTTCTAAGTTTCGGCTAAGGAACCAAAGCAAATGGGAATGAGGCTTCCAACTTGGTTCCACAAGTGCGTTTTTTTTCTGAATACTGATAGGCCGGCCATCTTACATAATGGGAACTAGTGTGTTCAGCTGCAGTTTCCTCACATCACCAGAATTTTTTTTAAGACATTTTAAATTTGTTTTAATTTTTTTAAGCTGCACAAATTTTTTATTAGCAACTAACCCCAGTGCGGGAAAAGTTGACATCCTAACACCAGATCATGTCAACAGACTCAGCCAAAGTGGCCTGTATCATTGGAATGAGCTACAAGTTTCCAAATAAAATAGCTCTTTGTAGGGCTTTTCAAGGCTTCCAATTTGATTCATGAAGTCTTAACAGCCTTTACGGATCATCTCGGCAAGGAGGCAGACGTCCCAAAATGAAACAAGCAGAACTTGGCAGGGCGGCCTCATGCTCCCATCAGGGCAACACAACTTTGAATGAGAACAAGAATACAAACATCTAGGACTTGTGTACTTCATAGTTCACAACTGACATCTTGATTTTTTTTTAATTTTAATTCTCATCCGAGGAAATGTTTTCATTGATTTTTAGAGGAAGAGAGAGAGAAATATCAATTGCTTGCCTCTCGTATGCACCTGGACCGGGGATGGAATCTACAACCTTTTCTGATGGGTGGAAGAACACTCCAGTCAGCTGAGCCATCCAACCACAGGGCCCATCTTGATTTTTTAATACCCAAATCCTGTGTTCTCGTTGCTAAACCACAGAAAGTGATATCCATCCCACTGCTCCCTGATCGATGCCAATCTATCCAATCCTCTGTCATGGCAAATTCCATTTTACCAGTTACGCAGGCCAAACACTGGACATGTCCTTGACTTGTTTCCTTTTATCATGCTCCACATATAACTTTATTAGGAAATCCTCTTGGCTTTACCTTCAAAATATATGTAGAATCCATATTTGGTGGTATTTAGAAATTATTAATTTTCTGTGTAATCAGTCATCTTTCAGAGATACATACTGAAAGATTTGCAGAAGAAATGAGAAGCAATCTGGAATTTGCTTTTAAGATAATCTAGTGCAGCGGTTCTTAACCTGTGGGTCTCGACCCCTTTGGGGGTCGAACGACCCTTTCACAGGGGTCGCCTAAGACCATCAGAAAACACATACATAATTACATATTGTTTACAGTAGCAAAATTACAGTTAGGAAGTAACAACGAAAATAATTTTATGGTTGGGGGGTCACCACAACATAAGGAACTGTATTAAAGGGTCGCGGCATTATGAAGGTTGAGAACCACTGATCTAGTGGGTGATGAAGATCAATGAAACAAAATTGTCCATGTACTGATAATGTTAAAAATGGGTAATGGGTACAATGGGGTTCATTACACTAATGGCTCTATTTCTATGTGTGTTTGATATTTTTCATAATAAACTTATAAAAGAAGCAAATAGTATGCTGTCTGACCTTCTTCCCAAATAAATTTGGACCACTTATCGCCTGCATGGGCTACCACCTTGGTCTGAGCTGCCAAACAACTCTTGTCTATGTTGTAGAATAGAGTAGCAATTTTAAATCTTTTTCATCTTGTGGCACACAAACTAATTAAAATTCTGCGGCACACTAAAAATATATATTTTGCCGAACCGGTTTGGCTCAGTGGATAGAGCATCGGCCTGCGGACTGAAGGGGCCCAGGGTCGATTCCGGTCA